TTGTGATAATTCGAGACATTTTGATTGATGAAAACTCTATCTGTGATTGGAATTCATGTGATGTAACTAACAAGCCAATGATGAGTTATGTTGTTGATGAAGAAAGTAGTGAGCATGAAGAAATTCTAGCTAATGACATACTAGACACTGTCGAAGATGAAGCAAACAATAGGGAGGGTGTGGCTAGCACAAGCCAAAGACCTCAAAGAACCAGAGTTCTCCCAGTAAGGCTTTAAGACTATGAAGTGGTTAGTGATGATGAAGTCCTACCAGATGATAATTGGTTCATTTCGATTTACTTGCTGGTGTTGAACTAATCTATAGTGAGACCTTAAGTAATAATCATTGAAGGAAGCTATGGTCGAAGAGTTACAAGTGATCGAAAGAAATAAATACATGGGATCTAATTGACTTGCCATCACATACAAAAGTTATCGAAGTGAAATGGGTGTTCAAGATGAAGCACAATCCTGATGGGTCGATTGCAAGACATAAAGCAAGATTAGTAGCTCGAGCATTTATTTAGAGAGCAGGACTCGACTACTCTGAAGTATATGCGCCAGTAGAAAGATTAGAGACTGTCAGATTGGTGTTAGCCTTGGCATGCAAGCAAGGCTGGTCGACATTTCACTTAGATGTGAGCTCATCATTTTTGAAAGGTCCTCTAAATGAAGTAGTGTATGTCATGCAACCTCTAAGGTTTGTGATACATGGGGAAGCCATAAAAGTGTACAAGTTACATAAAGCTCTCTATGGTCTCAAACAGGCACCTAAGACATGGAACAAGAAAATCTACTCGTTTTTAGTCAAATTACGATTCATCAAATGCGGGTCTAAGTATGGTGTCTATGTACAGGTCATGACACAAGATATAACCATCATCTGCTTATATTTTTATAACTTGCTAGTAACTGGAAATAGCATGGAGAACTTGTGGAAGTTCAAAGAGTTGATGAAGAGGGAATTTGAAATGTCGGATCTGGGAAACTTGTATTTTTTATACATGGAATTTTAAATTACCAAGTAAGGTATGATGTTGCATCAAAGGAAGTATTTCAAAGAAATACTCAAGAGATTCAGGATGGCTGATTCAAATCCTACATCCTCACCTATTGAACCAAATCTTGAACTGGAGAAGCATGGAGAGGAGGACAAGGTAGATGTCACTTTGTTCAAACAAATTGTAGGATCTCTGAGGTATATGTGCAATATCAGACCTGATATAGGTTTCTCATTCGGATTGGTAAGCAGATACATGGATGAACCAAAGGTATCACACATGAAGGCTGCAAGAAGAATCTTGAGATACCTAAAATGATCAATAAGCTGTGAAATCTTGTTTCTGCGAGAGTATGAAAGAAAATTGTTATTCAAATGCTTATTATTGTGGAGATAAGAAGGATCGAAGAAATACAATTGGTTATTTCTTTCAAGTATTTGGTGCTCCAATCTCATGGTGCTCGAGAAAGAAATATGTGGTGGCATTATCATCATGTGAGACTGAGTATATAGCAGGATCATATGCTTATTGTCAAGCAATCTGGATCATATATGTGCTGGATGAGATGGAGGTCGAAGTAAAGAAACCATTGGTGCTGCAAATTGACAATAAGCCAATCATTAATCTTGCAAAGAATCCAGTTCTGTATGGAATGAGTAAGCACATTGAGGCTAGATTTAACTTCATGAGGGAGAAGATAAATCAATGTGAATTTAAAGTACGACATTGCTCGAGTAAAGCAAAGTCGGCCAACGTTTTTACCAAAGAATTGAAGATCGACAAATTCCAAACTTTGAGAAAGAAATTAGGAATAGTTAACATCGATTATGATTAGTTTGTGTCTAACTACTTGGGTTATAAAGGATTATGTTGTGATATATTAGTTAGTTAGTTAGCTTGTTTGTTATAGTTACTTGGATTACAAGTAACCGACTTGTGTGTAATTCAAAAATAATAATACAATTACTTTTCATTCTCAGTATTTCATTCATTTCTCACCCGTGTGCATCAGGAATTAACATATATATCAAAAGAATATTAATTCAATTCTCGTTGTTAATACGCATATTTCTTTGAAAGATATTCTAAAAATTATCTTTGTGAATATTTTTTAAATTTTAAAGTCGGTCATGACCTTGGTCGACCGAAATTCAATCACTTAAACTTCTAATATATCAATAACAAAAATTATCACATTAAAAGTTGTCAATTTGATTCTCCATCGAAAATTGTTTCGTACCGTTTGAAAGACTTATAATAAAATATACAAAAGCAAACATCACGTTAAAAAGCACACAAAGTGGGTACTTTGCTTGACAAGAAATAGATATTCCTCTTTCAACGCATCAATCACCGTCTGATTCAATCAAATAGTTGTTCACACAATACGTTGTATCACACGTGAACACTTTCGATCGCTTTTGATATATAAGGGTAAAATGCGTCATTTTAGATATTAAATTCATTCTCACTCACACATTACTTCTGATTTTTTTAACTACTTGAGCGTTAGAGTGTTAATCTTTTATGTCCACCTCATACAGTTTGTCGCATTAGAAATATTGTTCAACTACAACATTAAAGTGTTAACTTTACATATCTATATGATTTCGTCGCATTAGAAGTACTACTCCACCAAAACTATTTTTCTTATAATATAGTTAAGAAAAACTTATAATTTTATTTAATATAAGAAGACAAAAATTGCTAAAATTAATTATTTGTTGCCTTTTTGATGTTTCTCTCTTACCAACTAATATAATATTCCACTACCCACCACTTCCCTCCAAACTCTGCCAACTTAAGTAACATTCTTTCATTGAGACCAACCAACCAACCATATGGTCCAAATTTCCAAAAAGAAATTTAACATCATTGGTCCTACAATACAACTCTAGAACTTATCTATTTTAAGCTTCATTTTTATTATATGCTTTTATATATTAAATAAGGACTAAAGTACAAACATAAACTCAAATATGTGTCAGCAATATTCTCATAACCCTTAACCACCACCACTTGTGCATTTGCTATGAACAATGAATAAAGTCACAATGGTACAAAAAAGCACAAATAATTCCTTCTAGTAATTGATTTTCTCAAGCAAAAGAAAATATACTTTTCTTTCTTTCTAAAGGCCCATGTTATGTTACAACAATAATTAATCATTTTATAAATTAATCATTGTATAAATAATATATGTAGCATAAGATACCAAAGACAATACTATTTTGTTTATATTTCATTGGTGTTACACAATCATTGATTTTTACAGTTGTGTATTATGTGACAATACATAAAAAAAGACATAAAAAAACAGTTGATTTTTAGACAATAATTGTTCAAGAATATAGTAAAATGGAAGAACATAAAAAACAGGAATAAAGGAGACAAAACTGATTTGTCAGTGCTGATTTTTCCTCTTGTCCTTCAATCATAAGCTTTTATTTGCTTCCCTTTCTTTGCTCTTCATTGGATTCATAGCATATACCCTTTTCTTTCATAAAAACACACACATAACAATTTAGTGTAAACTTGGTTTATCACTTATTTATAGTAGTTTCAACCAAGTGGCTTGATTCAATTGGCTAATGAGTTTCAGTTAAACTGAGTTCAAATTGTGACCACAACAATCACTTGTCAAACTTTACTCACTCCCCCCGACCGAATTTCATATTACAAAAGTAAGAGTCGCAACTCTTAGCGTTAAGGCTCTGTTTGGCAAGACACAATTTTAAGCTTATAGTTTATAAGCTCATATGATAATTTAGATGTGTTTGATAACGGTCTTTTCATCACGAGCTTATAATTTATTTTGTCAGCTTATAACTTATTTTTCAGATGTTATTTCAAATAGCATTTTAACTTATAACTTATAGTTTATTATTTTTTCTTCCTTTTTCATTCTTATTATTTTAACAAAATTTCACTTTTATCTTTTATAATTTATTTTAATTTAAAATAAAATAATTATGTATTAAATATTTTTTGTCATTTTACATTTATAAGTTAGTTAAACCGTAAATTTTACCAAACATTTCAATTAATTTATCAGCTATCAATCTCAACCATCAACTATAAGTTATCAGTCATCAGTCATAAGCTATAAACTATCAATTACTTTATCAGTCAACTTCTATTTTTACCAAACAGTCTCTAAGGCTCTGCTTGGTAAGTCACATTTTTGAGCTTATAACTTATAAGTTCATATGATGATTTAGACCTATTTTGATAACAGTCTTTTCATCATCATCATGAACTTATAGTTTATTTTATTGACTTATAGTTTATTTTTAAGTCGCTATTTCAAATAGTGGTTTAACTTATAGCTTATCATATTTTTTATTATTTTCTATTATGTTTATTCTTAATATTTTAACAAAAATTCTCTTTTAACCTTTATAATTTATTTTAATTTAAAATAAAATAAATTTATATTAAATATTTTTTATGTTATTTTATATTTAAATTAATTAAACCGTTAATTTTATCGAATAATTTATGGAAGAGAGCCCACACCTACCTAGTCACATGAATGTTTATACACAAAAAGTACATTAACAAATCTTACCAATCTTAGTTACTTCCTTTAGTTTATGTGTTTTTTCAAAAAGTAACTGACAAATCCTACTAAAGAAAGAGTGCAAAATTGAACCATTCAAATTTGATTCCCTTTGCTTGATTTTAACTCAATAATTTACCCTTTTGTATTTTTTATCATATTTAGTTTTTTTATGAATTGGCTTGCAGCCATAAAGGGTCAGAGAAAATAAGACTCTTGTATTTTTGCTTTTGTCACTTTTAATAGAATTTTGAAATATGAATAAAAACTTTTTCATATGATGAATTAATGATGGTGATTTAGCTAAAATATAGAGCACTTTAAGAAAGTTTAGCTTGAAACTAACTTAAAGAAAAAAGCTAAAAGCAGAATAAAAAGTTACTTACATTTATATAAACTGTTTCATCAAAGTTTTTTATTTCAGAATTTATCTCAACCATGAAGTTTCAAAGCAATGAGATTCTCAATGGAAAGTACTCAGCAAGAAACACAACCAAAAGTGCTTTTCTCATACCGTTCACTCTTCTTCTCATCATGTTTCCTCTTATTCTCATGAGAAACACAGAAGAATCATCACCATCATCGTCGTTGCCGCCGTCGTCTCCGAACATGTCTTCTGTCAGAAACATGAACAACAGAACAGAAACAAAAGGATGTGACATCTTTTCTGGTAACTGGATTCCTCATTCTGAAGAACCTTATTACAATAATGTAACATGCAAATGGATGATAGATGAACAAAACTGCATGAAATTCGGTAGACCTGATGACGAGTATCTTCATTGGAGATGGAAGCCGGATGAATGCGAGCTTCCGCTCTTTAATGCAACTCAGTTCTTAGAGCTTGTTAGTGGTAAGAAAATGGTTTTTGTTGGAGATTCTGTTGGAAGAAACCAGTTGCAATCTTTGTTGTGCCTCCTAAGTCAAGTAAGTAATCATTCACACTTTGTTTTCTTTTGTCTTTTTCATAGGAGCTAAATTTGTTGGAGAATAGGTTCATAAATAGTATTATAGGCTCTATAAACAAGTGGTTTAGATTACTATACAAGATTCTGTAACAAGTCCGTAACTACGGCCGTGACATCACGGGTTTTTATGTATTTGTGACCGAAGTGTGATGGTCGCAGCCATATTTGATTGTGATTCTATGTAGTATCTAGGATTGTGACCGTGACTGCGATTTAAAACATTGTTTCTGTCCTTGTTTTCTTGACACAATTTTGTAGATGATCTTATCTGCATGTTTATATTTGAAATCCAACTAGTGAATGTTTGATTTCTTGTTTAGGGGAGACATGTTGATTCAGAGGTTCAGAACGATTTTGACATGTTTGAATATTTCATAGTAGAGTTGATTCTAACTTGAAACTAGAATTTTAAATTTTTATCAGTTCATTCAAATCAATTTTTGTTATTGCAAAACCAAACATGCTTACGTGTGTTTTTCTCTTTTTCAGGTGTCTGAACCTGAGGACGTTTCTCATAAATACACGTCGAATGTCATATATTTCAGGCGGTATTTCTTCCCCGATTACAATTTCACCCTTGGAAATCTATGGTCACCATATTTTGTGAGATCAAGTGATGCTGAGAAAAAAGGTCATTCATACAACAACATCATGAAACTATATGTAGATGAGGTTGATGAAGCATGGTCAAGTCAAGTTGAAAACTTTGACATAGTAATAATCTCAGCAGGACATTGGTTTTTTAGACCTTTGATGTACTATGAAAAGGGTCAACTTGTTGGATGCAACAAATGTGGAATAGAGAATGTAACAGATCTTGCTCACTACTATGGTTACAAAATGGCATTTAGGACTGCATTTAGAACCTTAACAAGTCTTGAAAATTTTAAGGGTGTGACATTTTTTAGGACATTTTCTCCATCACATTTTGAGAATGGAGATTGGAACAAAGGAGGGAATTGTGTGAGGACAAAGCCATTTAGCAAGGAAGTAATGAAGCTAAATGGTTACTTTCTAGAGACATACATGACACAAGTGAATGAGTTTAAAGTGGCACAAGAGGTAGCATCAAATAAGGGATTGAAGTTTTTGATGCTAAATACAACTGAGATTATGTTGTTGAGACCGGATGGACACCCTAATAATTATGGACATTCTAAGGACACAAATGTTACATATTACAATGATTGTGTTCATTGGTGTTTGCCTGGACCTGTTGACACATGGAATGAGTTTTTGCTATATATGTTGAATATAGAAAGCAACTCATCTTATGACTCAAAGTTAGAGAGTGTTGTTTTATGAACATAAGATTTATTTGGTTCACGAGTATTTATTTTTTGGAAATTTATTTTTGTAAATCAATTATTCTCTACACGCAATTGAAAAAACTAATTCCTCGATGCGGATAAGACCATAATGGATGGATGTCAAAGTTCTCCCTATAGAGTTTTAATGTTATTGCATTTCCCTGTGCTCGAACACAAGAACTCTGGTGTGTGAAGTAACTTTTACTTGTATTTAAGAAAAAGGGTAGAGAAATTGTGTAAGAGATTGATGAATGTATTTATTTACTATATAGATAGTAACATGCAGAGTGTATATGCAAAGTGATTTGTGAATTTTTGTAATATATTTAGTGGAATGTCTTGATTATCAAATTGGTCGATACTCAATCCCAAGAAGCTCAATTGTATTAAGAAACATTGGCTAGTTCCATTTTGCCTTAAGAATCAATTCTCAAACACACATTTTAATGCTTCATATGATTTGATTTTTACTTGCTTTAGTCAGATTTCTGATATTTTTTTAATCTTTCTTGTATACATTACATGGTGTAACTTATTAAAAAAGCTTTGAATTAAATAACATTTGTCTTGGATATGCAGTAAAAGGGTAATTTGATCAAGGCCAAAGGCTTAATCAGAATCTATAAATTCATGCAAGCAATTAAAAAGTCCTATTTGTCATAAAAATAAAAAAGTGATTTCTAGAATAATCAAATAGGTTTTGAAAAAAAAGACAATATGGATAAGAAAATAGTGATTTCTAAATCTCTAAGCAATACATATTGACGTATGGTAGTAAGCAATTTCATGTGCATGGATAATGATACTGACTTGAGCTTTGAGACTAAGCATAGGTGTAGCTTTCTGTCAATTCTTGGGCTTGTCAATGATATCAACAACCAAAATCATGAAATATGCTTTTATATGATTTCCCCTATTAACATCAACCTTGCTGTCAAATTATGAATCTCAAAACTTAAATAAGAATCATGTAGTTAGTGTGTAAGCCTATCTGATTAAGATGACTCTGCAACAAAAAGTTATATACTGTCAAATTGTAAATGCATTAAGTTATATTCAATATGTGAAAATGTTCTCTCAACAATACTAAGTTTCAAGAAATTTGCAACATGAAGGAAACCAAATTACTTCAAGCTATAGACTTAATAGCGAAAATCACTTAACACGGAGATCACAGAATAATAATAACTTGAACTAGTTGCTTCTTTATGAAATACCATCTCTCGCAACAGCAAAGTCAAAGTAACTCGAGTTTACCGAAGATATTATTAGAGAATAGAATACTATAAAATACCTTATACTATCTTTTATATTATATCAGGTAAATATCAATGATGTTCAAGATTCATACTAACTTCATTGCATGCAGAATCTCCTAATCTGCGCAATCCCAAAAATTTCTACCCCAGAAAAGTCCCCACAGATGCTCTGTGAATCCGGCCATGCGTTTTTTGGTGAGTCTTTTTGCTGCCGAGTTGCGCTCCTGTCAATATTCTACAATTGTCGTGTTTTGGACCACGGGTACATAGGCTCCAGAGTAAAAAGCCCCTTATCTTTTCTATTTTGACGTTTGTTCTGTTGTGATCTCCGGTCTCTATTCCTGTTTAGGCTTGGTTTAACTTTTGACTTAAGTTTCCACTATTCTATTTGGTTTTTTGTGGCTTGTCATCTTGTGCTTTGGTGTTTTGCTCGATTTATTGTTGCTTCTATTATGTGGTTAACCTTTGGTGGTTGCTTCTTAAACTTTTGTCTATTTTGGCATTCGTTGGTTCCTCTTGTTGCTGCCTCGGTTGTTAAATTTTCTCTTGTAAAACGTGTAATTGTAACAAATTTAAAGCTGAGTAAGTTTAGATTGTTAAATATTATAATATCTTCTATATATTTGAGTATCATAAGTTATTTCCTAGAATCGGTTTATAATCATAGAGTATATTAAAGTATCTCTTAAGATTATATTTATGTTTTTTATTATTATTATTATTATTATTATTATTTGTTTTCGATTTCCTATTTATTTAGGATTGAGTCTGTGTTCATATGGAATTAGTGTTTAGTCTTTTGTTATCAAGTCAGTATCAATAAAATTTCTTCAATCTAAATTCTCACGATTTCAACAGCTATCATATCATCTAATCTTTTGTCTATTCAACATTTTTTCTCATTCTTACCTTTTCTTCGGCTGTAACTCTGCACAGTAAAAACAGATGAAACATTGGTCAATACGTTAATGAGTTAATTTCTGCACAAACTCCTTGTTATATATATGCACACACAGTATTCAATAAGTACAACAAAAGTTTAGTTATGCATATTAAAAAGTAACATATAATCAGAATTTTGGTCAAAATGATATCCTGATAAATACAATTACGTTTAGAGCTAAAATATAAAGCACAAATGCCGACCTAAGTAGCATGAGCCTCTGCTGGCTTTCAGTTCTGCCTGCAGAATGGTAAGGAAGCCTCTGAGGACCATCATAATCCGACAAACTTTGTACCTTATCAGAGGAGCCTCTAACAAAACGACTCCTAGCATTGTTTGCCTCTGAGTTGTTGTTTTGCAGTTGTCGCCATTGCCCATTCAATCTTTCCAGCTCCATCTCTTTCACGTGAATTTCGCCAAGTAAACCCTCAGCCTGTGTCTGAAAGCATGAAAGGAAGATGGTTTATTAGACTCGTCGCCAGAAGGAAACCAAATACATAGAAGTAACATCCAGATAATCATTCCAACAGTTACTATTCAACTATCGTCAAAAAAAATGCCACATTAAAAAGATAGAATAAACTGATTTTTGAAACAGAGTATCATGTATAAAAAAACCAGGAAGTATGGAAAGCACCTGTTTAGCTGCTAGTTGCTCAAGTAAACCGTGAAGTTGTTTATCCAATGTTTTCTCTCTTTGTGCTGCAGAGCAAGTCAATAACGTTTTAAAGATAAAATAATACTTGCAATGTGAAGCTTAAGAGTGCAAAATTAGTGATAAAATTAACACAAGAAAGACGGAAAGAATATGGAAATGGAACAGTATTAAAGTATTCCCCGACTATATTCTTTAGGCCTCGCCGAGTTAGGTGGCTTTCAAAGAGAATAAAATAGTATTTGATAATTCTCCGATAGAAAGGATCAAACTGACAAACACTAATAAATATCATTCAACTGTTTACATTTTAAAAGCAATATAACTGGTGACTACAGTTAGATACCTGGACAATCATTAAACCAAGTGTTAAAAGTCCCATTTTCAAGGAAAGGGGTCCCTTGTGTATATCTTTAATCTTTTGTTTTCCATATACAAAAAATATTTATTGACATAAAACAGAAGTAAGATGTAACACCTGGGGAAGGCTGCTTAAGTGCATTTTCCAGCACTTCTGCCCATTTCTTCTCCAACTCCTTTACAGTATCCTCCATTGAACTCTGAAATAAATAAGGATTTTTGATGTTACAACAATGATTCAACATAGTTAAATTATTGTTTTGGTTCTAAAGAAGTAATCAAAATAGTTCTGAAAGAATCTCTATTTTCATATTAATCTGTAAGTAAAGAAATCACACCAAAGCTATGTTGTCGATAGCGCGCTATAGCGGTATAGCATAGCAGTACAGGACCTCGGTGCTATGCTAATGGCCTGCTAACCGCTATCCACGATAACTGAAATAGCGGCCTCTATTTGTGAAGTTATGGTGGTGCTATAGCGGCGAATAGCGGTTCTGTTGTGGTTAACAGACCGCTACTGTGAAGATTAGGGAATTATTGTAATTTTTAATTTTTTTAAGGGCAAATTGGTATTTATTGCCTTTTATTTCACTAATATAAAAGATCATATTGATGCTTTAGATCATTATCATTTCTCTCTTCACTCAAATTCAACAAACGGTGGATCCTAAGTTACCATTCGCTCTCCGCTAATCTGCTTCTTCCACTTTCTTCTCAACCTAAAAATCAGCAACAACTAAAAAATTCAGCTTCACTCATATTCAGCAAAAGGTTGAACCTAAGTTGTTGGTAATGCCGCTGGGGCTAATGAACCAGCAAGAGTTACTAGACATAACTCTAGACTTGTTACATTAATGTCTAACAGAGATGAGGAAGCAAGAGTTAATAAACATAACTGTTGGACTTTCCGCCTTAAATTGCGGTCCGCCCCTAGTCGCCCTAAATTGCGGCTCTTTGGCTTGCCTCATTGCAGCCCCTAACACCTTCATTGTGTTAGCTTTGAAGGGGTGGATTTAGTCCCACATTGCTTAGAGATATGACCTGTGTTGTATTTTAAGTGGAGACAGTCCTCACCTTACAAGCCGATTTTGTAATGATGAGTTAGGCCCAACCCAAATTCTGAGAATAACTCTAAACTTGTTACATTAATGTCTACCGGAGATGAGGAATTGGAGGTGGAAGAAGAAGAGTTTGAAGTTGAATCAAGTGATGAGCAAGATGATATTAATGTGGTGGAACATAGAAGTGAAGATGAGGTGGATGTGATTTAGTCATTTTCTTTACGTTCGTTTATGTCTAGAATTTGGTTTAATCATTCTGAGCACAATTATAATTTGATTTTGATGAGAACTTATACTGTGGTGTTGTTGGAATTTATGTACGCTGTTGCAACTTCTATTTTTAAAGCATTATGTATGTTGTTGGAACTTATTTTAAATATTTATGTATTCATGTTAAGTATTTGCCTTGGTTTTTAAAGCTCACATTAGTGATCATTCTGCTATCCGCTATGACGCTATAGCATTTTAGGGGGTCCGGCGCTACGCACCGCTATCTGAGATTAACAACCTAGCACCAAAGGTCTCTAAAGCAATAGTATATAATGACATATACTTATATAATACAATATCTTAATGAAAATAACTTATGACATGTTCATAAATAGTTTTCAGTTTATTTCAATAAAATTTTCAGAATAACTTATGAATAATCACTTAATTAAACTCCCTAAAATAGCATATTGAGTAATTATGTTGGTTAATAATCTAAATGCGCCCTTACTCATTCAATATTGAGCAATATGTTATGGTTAAGAATGCAAAAGAGAATTGTGTGATTGAAGAAATATAAACCAGTTCGTTCTTCTTTTCTTCCAATTTGTCAAGCATAGCCGATTTCGAAACTTCTCCATCCACATCTGCATCAAAGCCGGTTTTAGTATATGTCTTGTTTTCTTCCTCCCAACTCTCGACCGTCCAAGATTGGTCAGCATTTTCAGAAGCTCTCAGCCGCATATTTTCTATCTCGGTCTTCAACTTCTCTTCAGCTTCATCCATTTCCTGTAACCCAAAACAGAAGAAATAGAAGCAACAATAATTAAAACATAAAACAATGAACTTCAATTCCCTAAATACGTAACTAAGTAAACCGCCAAATAAAACATTACATTCACTCTCTTATAGTCTATATCATGGCGCACACCGACACATCAAACAATATTGCCATTCAGCATAACAAAGTACAGAGTACATATAACAATCCTCAGTCCCACCTCTAACTTTCTCCTTAGTAGTTCAGCCTCCTGTAATTTTTCCTTGATCTTATCCTCGCAAGTGGATATAGCATTCTCGAAAGCAGCATTTTCTTCCTTCAGCGTCTCCTCTCTAAGCTGGGCCTGCCCTCATAGCACAAAAGTAAATTAGTCTCATAAAAATTGAAACCAAATGCATCCCCAATTAAATCCCTGGAAATGTAGTAGACAATTTAGTAGCTTCAACTGAATAAATCACAAAACAATTCCCGAAATTGAAAATCTCCTATCACATCAATCATTCCAAACAGCTTCATAACAAAATTGACCAACTAAAAAGAACTTAATGTAATCAAGTACTTTCAATTTCAAAGATCATTTTAAAATTTCAGTAATTTCACTACTAAATTAACAAACACATAGAATTTCAAGAATTAAACAATTAATAGCCTGACTCAAAAAAAAAAACTAATGGATGTGACCTCGCATTTTCAATTTCAAGAATCATTTTGTAATTTCACTAACTTCACAACTTAACCGACAAACACCTAGAATTTCCCGAATTAAACAACTCCATTACAAAATCAACCAACTCAAAAAGACTAAACTGATCCAATATTATCAATTTCAAGAATCATCATGTAATTTCAGTAAGTTCACGACTAAATTAACAAAATCACCAAACAATCCCCAAAAATGCAATTCTTCAATCACATTGATCCTCAGCCATTCCAAACAGTTTCATGACTAAATTGACCAACTCAAAAAGACTAATCTAATCAAACATTTCCAATTTCAGAGATCATTTCTCAATTTCAGTAATTAAACAATTACACAACTAATTTAACCAATTTAAAAACAATTAATCTAATAATGCATTTCACAATTTCAGAGATCATTTATAATAACTTCAATAATTCCAGACTGATCAAATCAGTTATAATCCACTGAATCAAAACTCCACCACATTGAATCAAAGGACATGATTGTAATTTCTCCATACCTGATGGCGAGTGGAGGAATGCGCGTTTAATTGGAGAGCGAGAGCGTTATTGGAAGCTAAAGAGTGAGCGTGAAGATGAGGAAGACGCTGTGAGATATCAGGAGGAGGTAATCGAAGGCGTAGATCTTGGATCGAACGTTGGAGGGAATTGGATTTGTGATCGAGTTCGCGAACGTAGGTTTTCTGAGAATCGGTGAAAAGGATTGGGATTGAATCTTCGGATCCTGATTCTGCTCCTCCTGCTCCTCCTACTACATCTGCTGCCCATGCTAATAAGCCTGCCATTTTTGTTTTCGATTTACTTCTCTCTTTCTTTCTGGTTCTTTTGTTGTTGGTGTTGATGATGACGATGATGATGGTGTTGTTTCTTCAGTACTTTCAGTTTGGGTACAGTGATTCAATTTGTAAATTTATTTTAATAATATTGTTAAAAAATGAATGAAATCAGTAATTAAAGTTGAAATATAAAAACTAATGTAATATAAACACTCATGTTAAAACTAAACTCATATCATATCTTCCTAATTATAAAACCTTTTTTACTTTTTGTTCTTTTATATAAGATCATATACAATTTGTATACAGTATGTATTAATAATTTTTTATACTTATTTTCTATCATATTAATTGTTATGATCGAGTAATATAAACCGACTAAAATTTAAAAAAAATACATTAAAAAAAATAAAAAGTTTGAAATATATGTTTGTGTTCAGTGATAGAATTTGGTTTTTGATTGTTTACAAACAACATAGTGTTCAGAATTTTTTCTTATTTATTCATATTGATGGGTTAGGCTAAATATGTTATTGGTAGAGTATTGTACTATTTTTAGATATTGTCTTATAATTATGTAGTGGTATAATTGGAAGAGATATTAGGGCGGGACGAACGACATATGCTTACTCATCCAACATTCCCAAGTCTCCCTTTCATGGGTTCGAACGCCCTCGTTTAGAATCGAACCCCATTTTATATATATGTTATTCGAACCTTCAGTCTCTTCGTCCATAAGTATTGTGATCCTTGAGAAGGACTAACAATTTAGAGAAAACACGTCGATACAGTTGCTTCGCAATTTGCGAGAGCTAGCTCTTAATGCCTTAATATCCTTAAAGCCTTTGACAGCCCTTATTCACTAGGAATTAGTCCAGCATTTGCACTTTTAGTAAGTACAATTGGCAACCACCATGGGTGACTAGTAAAACTGATTTGGCCACATATATCATTTACTCAGTGTTGCTTTCACCATCTTCTCACAAGGATGATCGAGCAAAGTTTCAAGAAGGTCACATACACCATTATGAAAGGCTTCATCGGGGGATGGGAGAGAAGTTACGCTTGAAAAGTATTAACAGCAAATGTCACACACATAAAAGTTCTCAATGCTTGAAGAAGGGATGGAGAATCCAAAATCACCTTTTTGAGAGAAGACACGATCGAAGTACCCCTCCGTAATAACAATTTTATGGTCATCACGGTTCAGTATGCCAATTGGGACGTGAATTTTATACAAAAAGTCGGAGGAAATGAATTTTATACAAAAAGTCCAAAGACTCATACATAATGTACGTTGTCTCCTAGAAATGAACTTAAGAGAAATGGTTGTATCATTGTGTTCAAGAAATGGTTTTATCATTGTGATCAAGATTAAAAAAACATTGTTTCATCGATGATATAATACGTGACATATATGGTTAACATGTTACATTATACAACTCTCTAACAAAAATAAATAATAGAAAGGTTATTTGGACTTATAGTTTTCAATTATGGTGACGGATTCGAAAAAATAGTGATTCACTCTCAAAACATTTGTACCTGCACAATTTTTATCTTTCAGCAAAATAGAGCACCCTATATGCCAAAAAGGATTGCAAGTCAAACAAATACCAATAACATAAAAGACTTGCAAGAGAAAAAATGCTTCATATCATTGAAGCATAACAATCTAGAAACCCAAAGTTGAAAATGAATGGATGAAAATAACACAGGTAACACATTCACTTTCTTATCATCACTTGACTGTCTTGAAACTGATAAACAAATTTGCATAACCAAAATCTTGCAGTTCATAACAATCTGAAACACACCAATAGGTTAAAAGCATTTATGCCAAGATATTACGTTTACTAATCCAACAGATACAGTAACAGAAAATGCAAGATACCATTGATTCATTTTTCTCCATTTCTTTGCAAAAATCACTTACACACAGTAAAATCATTCAAACACTTCATTCTCAACACCTTCACCTCTAGTATGAATCCACCATAACAGATTACTCAATGAATTTCCATCATCAAAACCTTTCAACTTTCTTATCTTCTGCAATGCACCTTCATTATCATAAACTCCTTGCAATGCATATACAAACCCCTTCCATCCTTCCTTAACACCATCCCTTTTCAAAGCAGGTAATGTCCATTCCACTAGTCCCTTCACATACTTCATATCAGAGAACAAGTCTTCAGATATTGGAAGAATCGGTAAAAGCTGAATTCCAAGCCTACATTCTTTCCACTCAGCCGGACCAAACCATAAACCAGTATCTCTTTTGTTTGACCAAAGTACACCAATAACCTTATTGTTTTTAGTAAACACTTTCTCATACATATTTCCATCATCTTTCACATGCCACCACATTTTAGCAGCAAGAATTTCCAATGATGTAAGTGTCGATGCAGTCGCCACGAGTTCTGCATCATCATATATCATACCAATCAATGCTGCAGAATAGTAGGCATTCACAGCTTCACTAGTGCTCTCCTGATTTTTTCCATCCGTAAACTCGGTTAGCCCGCCAGCCCATGAATGTAACTTGTAAAGATCGAAACACCTTAGACGCGTGTAATTAGAGTTCGAGTTTCTACTCAATGTCATAAAATCTGCCATGAGTGAATAGGCTTGAGGCTTATACTTTGCACCCCAAATTGGGTCAATCCTTGCAAGCACTGCGATTCCATAGAGAAAGTATCCTAGTTGATAATGATGATCATTATAAACTCCAAACCCAAAATTTGCGTAGGTATCAGTAGAGCCTTGTTTGGTTATAATACCTCCCCATTTTTTATCATAGAGAAATCCATTTCCACTAAAAGTTCCATCAAGCCATGGCTCAATGGTTTCCTTCAAATACTTCTTCACATCTGGAATTATATCAAAGTGATTTACCTCTTCTGCTATTAATGCCAACCTTGCAGCCCTTGCTATCAATTTACCATAAAAGTAAGAACAATCTGTTGTTATTTCTGATGACTTTAGAAGCTTAACATCTTTTAAAAGAGATGAAACAATTTCGTCACGAGATTCTTCTTTGACACCTTTGCTTGAATGCCAAGTTATTGAAACAGGTTCCGTTTTCAAAATCCATGAATCACCAATAACACCAACAAGGTCACCATCAATGCTTTTATACTTAAAATCACTCAAAACAGTAACATTAGAATCTTTCTTGGACAAAAGTTGAATATGAAGAGGATGTGCTAGCATCAGCAAATCACCTGAACCTTTCTTCTTGAACTTATACTCAACACTGAATGGTTCTCTGAAGATAGCATCACCTGACAAAGGGTAACAAGAACTATACCTGTCAAGAACAGCCGCAGATTTTGAATTGGAATCCGGCAACAAAGCTATTCGAATGATACCACTAAAGGCCACTGAATAGATCTCCGAAAGACGTTGAGTCAACCTGATAGGTGAAGAAGCATACAGAACCCATCTTTGACCATTGTTAAAGTGAAAAGTATGCTTTTTGAGAGAATTATTAGAAGAAAAATAGTGAATGGCGTGAATGGTAGTAATGGAAAGATGGGTTGGTCGTGTGACAGAAAAGGTCAAGAAGGGACTTCCTCTAACAAGAAAAAATTTCAAATTTGAAGAGGGAATATCTAAGGTTACACTGAGATCACTATAGGATGATATTTTGTGTGATTCTTTTTTGAAAGGCAAAACATTCAAAGCATTGTTGATAAAGGAGGGTAAAAAAGTGTTGAATTGTTGCTGGACTATTTGTACTTGAGAGGAGGAAGTGATTGTAAGATCTGGTTTGAATATTTGGGATATGACTTTGGAGTTGGAAGAGCGAGATGGATATGAGACAGAAAGGGATGAGTTAGATGATTTGATGAGATAAGGATGAATGTATTCAGGTTGGTCACCATTTTTTAGTACAAAATTTTGGAAGAAAGAGTTTGTAGGGAGGGGTGTGGATAGAAGATTTGGGGAGAAGAATCTGTAGGGGTCAGGGAGGACAGTGGAGTTAGCACGAGGGAATAGAAAAGGTTTGTTGTTTTTGTTGTTACTAGCAGACATTGCAACTGATAAAGGATGATGGTTGTGTTTATGTGATGATGTTTTTGATAGGTTACGTGTTGTTTAAGGTTTGTTTGTAGTTGTAGTAGTAGTAATGGTTATGGTGATTGAGAGTTTTATATATATATAATGGAGTAGTAATGTTGTTGTTTAAGATGGTAATAGTTATAGTTATGATGATGGAGAGTTATCTTGTTAGTATCTTCAGTAGTATTGGAACTTGGTCGAGTATTTAATGGTTTAGAAGTTGCATGGTTTGGGTTCTCGTGTGCGATGTTTATTGGAAGACTAACTTATGATTAATGTTACTTGTTGAGATTGTCTTTTGGAATTTTTCTATGATGATGATAGGGATTATAAATTGAATGGAAGATTGAAAGGTAGCATGTAATCTAAGAAGATTTTCAAACGAGACCAATGGAGATAACATTGTCTTCTTTTTCGGTTATGTTTGGACCGGTGTAGATTAATAGTTTTATGGTTAAATAATTATAATTTTTTAATAAAAATATTTTGGATTGGTCTTAAGACCCAATTGACTAAGACTTAATTCATCAAAATTTCACTCTACATGACTTAACATGTAAAAACAATTCACATATTATGAAAATGTACATAATTTCTGATTTTCAATTTTACTATACTCGTCTTGAATCTTGAACTGATTTGGGCGTTGGAATTCTAACCATGCAGGTTCATCTTGCGCCACCGTAGGAGCCACCGTTCAAGATCACCAGTTAACCAACACTCTTCATTTCTGCTTCCTTCACATAAAGTGTTCTGGACTGGGCCGACGCTTGGCCCATAGTCGAGTAGGCCCAAACTCCACCAGGTTGGAAGGTCCAATAAGACCTCATCCTCGGGCAGAACATCTTCTACCGTCGGGCAGAACATCTTCTACAGTCAGGCAGTATTCTCGTAGCTGTCCGACTGGCCCTTCTTCTGCCCCACGGTCGGGCAGAAGCCACCCAATCTGGGAAGCTCCTCGGACCTCCCTCACGTTCTCAACGTGTCCCCTACACGAAGACACGTCATCAGGTAACTATTTGTGCCCTGATTATTCGGTCATCCACCTCCCGGATAGTACGGACAATTACATTAGGGCGAAGACCACTTGCTGGTCTTCACGACGCCACGTCAGCCCTAGCAGTTACCAACGTTGGGCCTGACAGCCCATTCCAACGCATAGTAACTGTTGGCCCTGCGCTGAGGGCTCATTATAAATATCCTCTTCCACTAGAGGGTCAGGTAATCTAATTCTCACTCCTTTCTCTCTGTGCTTGTTATCACTCTGCTCGTCACTTGCTTTGGCACCAGAGTGTGTTTCAGGTACACTCGCCCTGTGTCCGTCAAGTCAACAGTTCGACAGCACAAACGCGTGGCAGTACAACAATCTCTCTGATCAGGCATGATCAGTGGCGCCGTCTTTGGGAATGTAAAGCTTCCCCGTTCCTCCGAGCAGAAAAACCAAAGCTTCCAACTTCAACTTTCGAGATCATGACTAGTCCACGTCAAGATGATGCTGGCCACAATTCCGCTTTCGTCCCAATCACCAACGGCGACGACCAGGCTGAACCATTCCACGCTCGTGAGGGTGACGTGAGGGACGGACGGACTGCCTCCCCTTCGTTCAGGACGCGGCACATCACGTCGCACCTCGAGCAAGGAGTCCGGTTGTTTTCCAGCCCATTCCCACACCAGCTGGCGCGGACCCGATGATGATTTCCCTCTTCGCAGCCATCAACCAAACAAATCTGATGTTGTTCCAACAGAACGAGCGCATCGGTATGCTGGAACAAGATACCTCATCTCGCTCTCCCCCGTGGAGAAATTAATGCGAAGACTCCCGGAGCCCCTCTCCCTACCAACGGGGGCGCCAGCCACAACTGGAGAGGCCCAAGCCGATGGCCTCCAAGAAGCGTGTCCGATCACCTTCCCGAAGGAGAGGCGTTCCCCGGTCCCAAGAGCGAACAGACCAGAAGCCTCGGGCAAGAGGTCGAGGGGGCGCAATCAAGCCCCTCGACACAACCCTTCGCCCTCGCGCTCCCCAGTTCGCAGGGACGATGAAGATTACAAGACCCCCCTTTCACGGGAGATCATGGCAACCCCCATATCCCATGGGATGAAGAAGTCACCCGTACACTCCACGTACGACGGTACCTAGGACCCGAACGACCACCTGGAAGATATTGAGGTCATGCTCGACTACAGGAACGTTCGAGGAGCCATCAAGTGCAGACTCTTCCTGACGACGTTAAGGAAGGGAGTCATGGCTTGGTACAAAAGCCTGGAGCCTGAGTCCATCACGTCGTTGAGGGTCCTGAAGGATTTCTTCTCGCAATATTTCACGGTGCCCTGACGTCATCTGAAGACAGAGGCTGCCCTGGGCGCAATCATCCGGGCCTCGGACGAGCCTCTCAGGAACTACATCGAGAGATTCATGAGGGAGGCGGTCCAGGTAACGACTTCATACGACATGAAGCGTTACCTCATGGAACAGGGCCTATGTCGCAGCTCCAAATTCTACGAGGTCATGGCAATCCACCAACCAACCACCCTGCGAGGCTTCCTCGAGAAAGCTCGCCAGTACTTCCGGTACGAGGAGACCGAGGTTGCTAATTCTGCCCGGGACTCTCGTAACCGTGAAACCTCCCGTGGGTCCCGAGAAAAGGGAGCTCCAGTCCTCCGACATGGGGGAGACCGACGACAAGACAATCGTCCCCGAGAGCAGAAGGGCATTGCAGGCCGCTTCATCGAATACACGACCTTAGTCGCTTCCCGCGAGCGCATCCTGGTTGAGTGTGTCAACTCAGAGTTCGTCCGGGGAGGTGTCCGTTTCCCCAAACTGGCACCCCCCCAAGGCCAACATGGACAAGTCTAAATATTGCCACTTCCACCGCGGCCATGGGCACGTCACCAAAGATTACACCCACCTGAAAGACACAATCAAAATACTCATCAAGGATGGGCACTTGAAGAGATACACCAGGGAAGGAGAGGCCCCTCGACAGAAGGCCCACGAAGCCAAAAGGGTCGAGGACATCCCTCCTCCCTCCAATGAGTCTGGACTACAGGTGGCCCTCAGCATCAGTCGACCTGAAGACTGGTTCTCCCTGAGGGAACACAGTCTCCCTACCGGGCACCCACTGCGTGAAGAGCCAATACGCTCCATCAGCCCGTGGAAATACTTCCCCACCACGATGGTCATCATAGGCGGGGCCCGAACAAGCTCTTCATCAGGTCTGTCAAGAGGAAGTTTGACGAGTTGATGAGCAACAGTTTTGGCAAAATGAGCACGCTCGACAAATTCCAAGGTCGGTCTAACCTGATCACGTATTATCTCGAAGAGCTGCCTGGAGGAACCCCCAACTCCGTCATTCCCCTGCTGATCTGGGCACAAATGGCAAACTTCGACATCCGCCGCATCCTGGTCGACGGAGGGAGCTCGGTGGATATCATGTATAACCACCTATTCTCGATGCTACAGCTCGACGAGACCAACTTGACCCCTTACGTCAGCTCCAACCTCTAGGAGTTCAACGGGATGACAACGAGACCGTAGGGATACCTGGAGCTCAAGGTCACTTTCGGGGCACACGAAATGGCCAGAGAAATCAATGTCCGCTTCCTGGTTGTCGAGTGTCATTCCCTGTACAACTGCATCTTAGGAAGGACGATGCTGGCAGAGCTCACCGTGATGCCATCAAAATTCCACCTAAAGATGAAGTACTATACTAGGCTAGGAGCCGTCGTCACCCGCAATAGGGACATAGAAGCATCCCAGAGGTGTTTTGAGGCAGCAATGAAGGGCCTCAGCACGATCGGTGCCCCTACCAAAGCGACCAAGCTTCAGCCCCGTCCAGGAGAACAGACTAAAGGACCACGTGGACCTCGACTGCCGCTTCCCCGGCGAACGGGACCATGAGGACGAGGACGAGCACGCTCCTCCAAAGATCAACGGGCAACCCTTTCACCCAACGCGCTCCATTCCTAACGGGAACTTCGAGATAGTAGTCCTCAGTGATGATGCAACCAGGAGCGTGAAGATTGGAGCAGGATTGCCCGACCTAGCGAGGAAGCAGTTGAAGGCCTGCCTCCTTGAGAATGCCGACCTCTTCGCTTGGAGCACCGCCGAGATGCCTGGCCTTGACCCCGAGGTTGCCTACCACCAACTCTCCATCGACCCAACCGCGAAGGCCGTAATACAACATAGACGTAGGTAGTCCCCCGAAAAGTCGGCGGCGGCTGAAAAGCTGTAAAAGACCTCCTAGAGGTGAATTTTATTTCGGAAGCCCGGTATTCAACCTGCCTATCCAACATTGTACTTGTTAAAAAATCAAATAGAAAATGGAGAATGTGCATTGATTACACTGATCTCAACCTAGCATGTCCCAAGGACGCCTATCCCCTCCCCAATATCGACAAGCTCGTCGACAACTCGGCGAGCTTCAAATTATTATCCTTCATGGATGCCTACTCAGGATACAATCAGATCCCCATGGCCGAGGTCGACAAATAGAGCACGACCTTCATGACCGAGTCGGGTAACTATTACTACAACGTAATGCCCTTCGGCCTAAAGAACGTCGGCGCCACCTACCAACGGATGATGAACAAATTCTTCTGAGGAGAGATTGGCGACATGATCGAAGTCTACATGGACGACATGATCGTCAAATCACGCACTGAGGTCAACCACATGGCCCACCTCAAGAAGGTCTTCGAAACTGCGAGGAAGTGCAGAATGCGGTTTAACCCGGAGAAGTGCACCTTCGGGGTACGCGCGGAGAAGTTCCTCGGGTTCTACCTAACCGAACAAGGGATCGAGACAAACCCGGACAAATGTCGGACCTTCTCCAAAATCGTAACGCCGAGCACAAATAAGTTGATACAGTCCCTGAACGGGATGCTCGCTTCGTTATCCCGCTTCGTCGCCAAATCCGCATAACATGCCCTTCTATTTTTCAAGTTGCTGAGGAAGAAGACCACGTTCGAATGGA